AAAGGTGGGTAGTGAAAGGGTAGAAACACAGAGAGAGATCTTTGGGAGCAGCGATCCATAACAAGGTTGCCACGTCTCAGAAGAGCCAGTCAGACTGGCTAGACACAGGTTACTGAAAGAAATACACACCAAGGACATCCAGATCTCAGCATGCAGGAAGAGACACCCTGAAGTTTCAGGATGGTTCTTACCTTAGCAGCTAGAGGAAGGTCTGTGCACATTTCTGGTACTGAAAGGTCTTGCAAGTCCTTCATAGGGTCTCAACCCTCCCTCACAGCCAGATCCATCTTTAGCATTGGAGTTTTCTCCTCCCCCCAGCCAAGGCAAAATACTAGAAAAGCACCTGCCTCCGCACCACACCTTTAACAAGGACCTGGGATTCAATTAACACTAGTGCCATTGACCTGTGTGGTTTCCTCCCAGAGAAGAGCCTGATAGCACTCTCCCTGCTGAGAGCCAGTAAAAAACATCCTCTCCAAGCCAAGAAACACCAGAAGGCAAGTAGGAGCAGAGACGATAGTAAAGCACAGACAGCACTTCCCCCAGGCACCTGGTGTGTGTTTCTGCATGGGAAAAGTCTTGCATTTTAAAAGATATCACTGAAGCCTGAGAAAAAAAACCAACTGTGAAAGTAATTGTCTTTCTGAAAGGGAAGTTAGATTAACTGTTACAGGCATCAGCCACCTGGTGAAGGTTTCTCAGTATCACCCAAGGTGAGAATGGAAACTGTTGGGGTGATACTGGTCAAGCCCCATTCAGACACTCTGCTCCAGCTTACAGGCAACTCTGGTTGAGTTAAATGCCTTCTCAAAGGGCACAAAAAATAAGAGCTTTGCTTATAGTAGACAAGAACATCCACCTGGGCACCGGACCAGCAGTACTGCAACGGCTACACTCTCACCTTGGGTGATACTGAGAAACCTTCCCCAGGTGGATGAGGTCTGTAACAGTCAGCACAACTTTCTTCTCAGAAAGTCATTTACATTTGCAGTTAGTTTCCCTTCAAGGCTTCAGTGATCCTGGTGGGGGGAGGGATGGGGACACAGATTTCACCACTGCAGCTCACACATCTATAGGCTCCATAAGGAGGCATGGGTTTAAAAACTCTGGCACAGATGTCTGAAATCCTGACAGAACAGATACATATCAGGTTCCCACTTCCTACTTTTCCTCTTTCACCCTCAGCTAAAAGCAGAAACATCGCAATACGTGATACCGAAGTGCAGTCTAGCACGCAGAGCTTTGACAAAGGGAACAAAACCCTGAGCTCCCTTAACCCTGAAGTCCTCAGAGATCCTGTGCCTAGCCCACTCCTCCACTGGGATACTGGATACCCGCTGCCTTACACAGCTCATGAAACACTCTGAGGAGCCACAAGATTGGCAGCTGGAGGGGACATCACGCTTCCTTCACACGCCGTCTCTGACAACGTTAAGCAGAGCTCACTCCACAGCTTCATGGCACAGAGAACAGATGAAGAATCTTATCCAATGATCCCAAATAAGCCAATTGCCTGTTACAACGCTCCCTGCTCCAAAAGCATGTGTCAGAAGGTTACAGGAGAGGCTAGTAAGCTGAGTGGCGTGCTCTTTAGGCAGGAGGAATCCACCCAATCCTCTCCAAGAGTTACTCAGAAAGGCTGGAAACTCCAGCAGGGCCAGCAGCCAGAGAGGGGGGAGAACAATTGGAGATCCCAAAGCAAGGAGGCACCCTCCAGCCTTGAAAGCTGGCTCTTCGCAACACCTGGCTATGGCAAAACAGCCCATAAAAGCCTAATTTGGCTTCATCCTATCTCCACCTCTGGAGCACCCTGCTCACTAGGAGACACAACAAACCGCAGTGCCAGGACATGAGAGTGTGGTAGATCAGTACCGTCCCTCTACCCACTACTGCTTCACTTCAAAGCTGGACATAAACATAGACCAGTCATTTGTGTACCTCTACTCGCCCAGCCAAGAGGACAGCAGCCTTGTGGGGACAGCCAGATGCTGCTCTGGTAGCTGACGCTCTCAGTACGCCAGCTTCACAGCAGCTCTGCGATGCATGCAATTTCCAAGAGACAGAAGGGCCCCTGCTCCCAAGCTGGGCAGAAAGCGATGCAGAGTTGGCAGCAACACTTGGCACCAGAGTCAGGCAAAATATTCTAAGAATCAAGACAATGTGCTGAATTTGCATTTGCGAGGGCTGGCAAAAGTTGTAGGCATTTTGCATGTCACAGTTGCTCAGTGAAGTTTCTCCATGAATTGCAGCTGTTTGAATGCCCATAAAACAGGCAAGGGTTGTTTCCAGCGGGGCAGTGCCCATTTGCCCATGCAGATGAGGAAAACCAGAACTAGTAGCAGGGAGCAGGACATCTGAAAGTCCAGCCCCATCTGATTCATTAGCTAGTTACCATGGTTTGCTTGTAATGTTCTGTAGAAGAACATTTTTGAGACTTCACAGTGTCTCCTCTATTTTACAGAGGCCAGAAACGGGAAGTTTATTGCCTATGGCTCCAAAAGAAGCCCTTATTAAGCCTCAGACTTCTATAGCTAAGCAGCCTATTGCCTACAGGCCAGACTATTGGTCTCCCTCTTCTTCACCCTCCAGGACAATGGTTCCTTATGCAGATCTCACTGCCCTGCCTCCTCCTCACTGCCTCATCACCTTTCCAAATGCTGATTCTTTGGGGTTGTCTCATCACTTCCACTTTACCAGCCTTTCCCACCCTTTTGCTGCCTCCCAGTAGCAACATGCAGTTGCTCTCCGGTGCAGAGCCCAACTCAATAAACTCAGAGTTTCTTAATGCTCACTCCATATTATGCCCCAGCTTTACGGAAGCAACAACAGCAGCCTTTGCGAAAAGGCTGTCTGAGGGTTTTCCTGAAAAACAGTTCACTAGCACTAACATAGCCGCAGTGCCACCAATGTTTCCAGCATTGCAAGTCTTACCACAGGAAAGGAGTTGGCAGCTGCTGGTAATATCCAAGACCTTAGAGGTCTACAGACCTGTTCTGATCTGGCATCATGTGAGGGCCCCCATTCTTTCTACAGCCAAGAGAGATGAACAAGCAGCAGGTATCCCCCTCTCTCCCCTGACACACACTATGCTAATACAAAAGCTAAGAGAGGCTGTAGATATCTTTATGTTAGCTAGGGACGATGACTCAGTTACACTCATGTGGCTGCAGATGTCTTAAATCTTGGCCAACATAACTTTTGACTTGAGTAGGAAAAACTGTCCCCATTTTAAAGCCAGACTAGTTAAAAAAAAAAAAAAAGTTTCACTGCATAGTTCCCTCTCTGAGCAAGTCACCATCTCAAATCAAGCTGGAGACTGACATGAGGCTGACACAGAGAGGAACAGAGTAAACGCACAGACCAGCAGGAAGAGAGACTGAATTATGAGCCACTGAACAGCCTTTCCACGTGTCCTGTCACGATGTTTGTGACTGCCAGAAGGGAATTATCCCAGGGAGGTCAGATTCTAAACATGCTCTTCATACTGAGAGCCCTTCTCTCTCCTCTAGGACTTGTTTACACCTATTAGAACACATGCTTTCCCCTTTCTTTTCCCAGAAGGGTAAGTGCAAACTGAGCAGATGACATAATCCAACTTTTAGACACAGTCTGCCTGACAGTTTTTTCTATCTCTGCTTTCTGAGGACATGTACTATGGAAAAAAAAAAAAAAAAAGAAAACCACAGCAACTGCAATGCAAACCAGCAGAGCTTAAGGGCGATCTGAGTGGGGCATTTCTAGAAGACTGCTGCACTGAGAAGGGAGAAGAGATTTCAACAACTCAAAAGACCATTAGCACCCTCAGCAGGTATAAAGCCACCATCTCACTCTCTCTAACCTGGCTAACTCATCCACCAGGTCCTTTAGGCACAAGTGCTGGCAGAACGGCAGAGCTTCCAGCACTATTTAACTTTCCCTCTTGAGGAGCTTCCACAGCAAGCTGGTAGGAAGTGAGGACAGAACCCCCTGCAGACTAGCTGGCTACAGTATATCCTACTATGCAGCCAGGCATAGAGCACAATGGCCTTTATGCTAAAGAGAAAAATAATTTTCCATATGACAAGTCAGCATCAGGAACAGATTCCACACTGCCCTCAGAGAAACAGACCAAGACTGCTGAAGAGAAGCAAGCAGCAAACCCAGTGTGCAAGGACAGATGGCAAAAGAAGATGTTCTCCAATCCTTCCTTCCATTTGCTTCATAGGGACTGCCAAAGAAGCTGACGCAGTCTGCACATCTGCATGCTCCACATGACCTCCACTGGGATGCCTGGCAGCCATACCCTTGCCTTGGGAAATGACTTTCAGTCAGTGCTGTGACTTGCACTCAGACACAACTCCATATATTTCTTAGGTAAGCACTTAGATTAGTTCATTGCAAGTAACTGACTGACTAGAAAAAAAGACAAGATAAGGAAATCCCCTGAACAGAAAACAGTCAAAGACTGGGAGAACAGTAGTGGGGGCATGTCCTCTGTGTGCTTGCCTTGCTTTTGTTCTTCCCTAGGCATTTGCTTGTAACCACTGCTGGAGATTACTGGGCTAGAAGAACTCCCGGTCTGTGGCAGCACAGCTATCCTCATGCTCCCCTAAAACAACTCAGGCCAGTTACTTCCCCGGCAGAGCACAGAGAGGGAGGGAGAAGCTAAGCATGTCTAGCAGTGATAACTGCGCAGAAGAAAGGCCAGACCTTACCATAAGTGACCATAAGCAGCAAAAAGTTGGCATTGCGGAGCAAGCGGAGGATTGATTGCACGTAGGAATACTCCTCTGTCGGTCTTGACTGGATCAAGGCCTGAGCTCGGCTCGGAGGGTGCGGGGGCTTCTCCTTGAAGACTGAAACCAGACACAAAGTACACCTGTTTGTAACAGTGCAATCAGGGAGCCTGAGCACACACTGTGAGTAGAGCCATTTGAGGGACAGCAGAGGGGCTAGTAAAACCAAGCGTACAAAACACACCATCGTCCTTAAGCTTTGATCTCCATGCATGAAGTTAGCGAGGAACAGGAGAGAATAGGGTCTCTCCAACAATAACTCCTGCCACTGGGGAAACACCTTGTCTTCAATTAGCTTTTTGTGTACGCAGTATCTGGCAGCAACAAAAGAGTTGTCAGGACTAGTAATGCCTTTGACTCCAGGAGGATGGCCAGCCAGCTGTAAAAGTGTTGCGTGGAGTTACAAATGCAAAAGTGGAATGGGAAAAGCCAGCTAGCAAAGGTGGCCTGGTGCCCTTCAGTGCCCAGTGCCTAGGGAGCAATGACCTACGCCAGGTTTTATTTCAGGCCTAGCACTTCTTAGGCTGGCCAAGCCATCTGCTGTCCCTAACTAGCATTAAAGTAGCATCTAAATATCCCAGTTGCAGGCGATACTGCTGTACCAGGTGCTAGACAGCCATTTTTGTACCTTGTCTATTCCCTGCCCAAGATTCTTTAAAATCTACATCTGATTCAGCCACCAGGCAACATGAACAAGCTGCCAAGAAAAGTCTATAAAAAAAAAATTATATGGAGTTCAGCAGACAAGCTCTGCTCTCCAGTGAGCTTGCCAATCTTTCATACTAAAGATCTGGCTTCCACTTTACATGTTAAGCAAGTGAATTGCACCTTTGGTGTCCTGCTACTGCCCTTAATGCTTCCTTCTCTCCACTCATAACCGGTTACCTTTTTTTCTTCTTGGAACAGCTTGTTCCTCTGATGCCATATAACCTGCCTCTTCCTTCCTACCCTTAAGAGGCAGTCAGGTCCAAGACATAACCCAAGGCCCAGCACTCTGTTTGCAAGCAAGATGAACCTTGGAAGATTTCTGTTGGCTTTTAAAGGACTTACTCATGCCAGGGTTTTATTATGCAGGCAATCAAAGGATGAAATGAACAATTTGGCAGGCTCACTCACAACCTCTTGTAGTCCCTTCTACATGTGCTGTTCACCAAGGGCTTGATGACCCTGTCAGCTGCATGCTAGGACACATCCCCAGATGACCTCCCCGGCCCATTTCCTAGCACACAGGCCCCTCACACACACAGGCTGATCTTCTCAGTCCCACCTGGTTTCATGTGCACGCTCCCACCTCCTTACCTATGACAACCAGGATGAATAGGGCTGTTGCCACGCCTGCAGTCATGAAGAACATGATGCTGATGTGGTAGGCCAGCTTCTCCACATCCTCCACATTGGGAACCAGAACTGGAGGGACCAGAAAGCCTACAGCGATGCCGAGCTGAGCAGGAGAGAGAGGGGACACACAGAGGTGTGACATGGAACCACAATACTGCCACCACCCCACAGCTCAGCCCCCTGATGCCCAGTAAGGGCTCAAATGAGCCTAATCCAATTTCACAACCAAGGTGAAAATCTTCTTTATCACCCAACAATTAAAAGATAAAAGCCAGCTACCCATTGCAATTAGGCCATAAGAGAGGTCCCCCCACTGCACTCACAACTGTCAGGATATTCAAGGCAAGGTTTTGAAATAGGATTGAGCAGAATGAATACCTGCCTCCATTCAAGTGGAGGTCTTGCTTCCCCTGTCCTCCCCCACGCATGTATGTTCCTGTCCACACACACATCCCACTCCTTATCTTGCACCTGCTCTGGTGCTGGCCTGATCACCAGGTAATCCAATCTTGCTCATTAAAAATAGCAGAAAACAAGACCATCAAAACCCACCACAATTCTTTGCTGGGTTAATGAGTTGAACCAATTTATTTTCCAGCCAGACAAGCGCAAGGGCCGAGACAAAAACCTGCCCACTTCTAATGAGAGAGATATTAATCTGGCTCAGCCACTTTATGACACTGTTTCCTAATGAGCCCCCTCCCAAGACACGGCTCACCCCATGACCACTAGGAGAACCTAGAAAAACATCAAGGTTGAGAGCGAAGGAATTGCTGACGACACGTACCCTAAACATCGAGGTTGCGTGATGGGGATTGGCAATTGCCCCTGGATAAAATGCTTGGCTTTAGAGCTGCAAGAAGAAACCCCTGCAGCTCTGGCCTCTACTGCACCAAGAGCCCCACATATCCAGCTGAGGAGCTCCTGCAGTGGCAGCACACACTTCAGTGTCGCTATTTCTCCAGGACAGCGACAAGGAGCTGTAGCAGCACAGGCTTTGCCACACTGATAAGTGGGACTGACAGTGGCACAGACCTTCAGTGCCACCCTCAAATGGGAGAGAGAAGAAATAGCTGCTTTGGTGCTTAGGAGCACACTCTGCTTTTCATAAAGTGGGAGCCAAAGTGCACTCAGCACATTCATGAGTACTCTAAACACAAGAGGAGCCTACAAAAGCCACTTTTCCCCCACCTTGTGTTTCACTGTTTGTGGCTGCATTTCAATCACCGTTTGGTTCCCAAGCACTGTGTATTTACCTGTTCCCCCGACCATTCCCAGCACTTGCAGCCCTCTCAGACATCAGAAAAAAAGCCATGCTCAAGCTCAGCTCTTGCTTGCTCTCAAGGCTCTGCACGCTCACCCATTTGGGTCAAAAGCAATTTTTTTTTTAGCAACACCCTCACTTTTGCTATTTCCTGATTTAAGCCTATGTCTGCTGTTGTGGACAGCGATAAGGCACACACAAGAGCCTCCAATAGATGGAAGGACTGAGAAAGCACCCAAGAAAAAGAGATGCCAGGTGGCCATGCAGCCATTCTCATACTTCCTTGAAACAGAGATTTCCAATCTCTTTTGGAGGCTGTACCATTTGCCTGGAGACAGGAAAGCGCTAACAGTACCAGAACAGTGCTAACTGAACCAATACAGACTAGCAGCATAAAAAAAATCCCACCCACAGTGGTTATTCATGCTACACCAGTACAGCCTCTATAGAGCCACTGCCCTCATCACACTACGAGAGGAGGTAGGAGTATGCAGAATATGGAAATGAGGATATAGCCAAATTAAGCCTATTGCATTATAGGAATTTCCTATAGGAAATTTCCTATAGGAAACATTTCCTTATAGGAAATTTCCTTATAGGAAACATGAGATTAATAGGAATCAATTAGCACCACCATGACGCGTTGTCTCAGGATAATGGACTGGAGAGGATACTGTTTATGCCTCACTGACCACTGAACAGCAGCAAGACAGCACCACTAGCCAATTGCTGCCCTACAGAAGGATTCTGCAGTGCTCAATGTCTTCATAGTGCCTGGAAAGGGTCTATTACTCTACAGGTATGGAAAGCAAGGACCAAGAAAGGCAAGGACTGTGCTCCACATCCAAGCATGTCAGCATACAGAGCAGAACGACCCAGGAGTCCTGTAACTCAGGCACGAGCTCAGACATGTTGCCTGGGCTGCCTTCTAGCAAAAACTCCTTGTGCTTTCTGCATGCTTTCTCTGTCATATCTCCATGTTTCTGGGATGCCGATGGACTCATTTTGGAAGACCCACTCACTGGCCAGGATCAAGATCACAGGACAAATACATTTCAGGTGCCATATCTAGTAGTTGGGATAAAAATCAGCTTGTGCCGTCCAGCCCCAGAAAACTCTCCACAAACTCCCTCCTCCTCCATCTAGCTGGTGGATTTTTGAGACAGGAAGAATGCTTGTGTTTCAAACAGAGCTATCTGCTAGACTCAGACACCCTATTTAGCTCACAAACAAGTAACATTCAACCATGTCTGGCCAAACTTCTCCTGTGTCAAACAGTGCCCTCCACTGGGACCTGGAATAGCCTGGGTCAGGATCAGCAACAGGCATCTGTGCCGAGTTCCCACAGAGAGCCAGTGGGAAGAGTCACCAAGAGATTACAAATGTGCCCCACCGCTTCAGGGCACTGTCAGGAATGAGAACATTAGGGGGTTGGTTAAATGGACTGAAGACAGACACAGGTTGTGCTGTCCCTGATGGCAAGTCAAGGACTGAAAGCGCTTAGGAGGAAACTTAAGAGACCATTGGGAAGGTTAAACCTTTCTAACACCCACACAGCACAGGCAGCCTCTGACACAGGACTAAACTTGCCAGAGCTCAACTTTGTTCAGACATGGCCTATCCCCAGCCTCTCGTCACAGTGAGTCAAGTCTACTCTCCTGCTCTGCACTGCCTGCTGACTCCTGAGACTCACTGACTACCAGCGAGCACAACTATCAGCTGGCTTAGAGGCTTCCAGCTCTGATCTTCATTAAATTGCACTCCTCAACCTTCTCTGCACAAGGGAAGCAAACCTGCAGCTGCACAGAAAAGGCAACTGCACCAAACACAGATGCTCACAGAGATCACTTCTAGAGGGCAGAAGCCTGTTTGTCTCTGCAGCACATTTATTTTGCCTTGCTTCTGGCCAAAGTGCAGGCCTGTGCCTCCGGCATGCTTGCTCAGCCCAGGACACAGCCACATCGGGCTTCACTCCTATTTCCTTAGCATTCCCAAAGGTTCAAGCTTCGAGGAGAACTCTCAACATTGCTCCTTTCCATTCAAGGGAAGAGTCCTACTAGCTCTTACGTATCAGGTCTCACTTGTGCCCCTCCACCCTTTACCAAATAAGATCTATAAACACTATCCCAGAAATTGCTCCTTTGTCTTATCACCATTTCATTCTTGGAAAAACTGGGCTGGATTCCTGTGCTAGGTGCTTCTTGGCTTCCTGCTCTCTGCAATCACATGCTAGTCCCATGAGCTGCTGAACTGCAGCATAACAAGAACAGGAAAGGAGGAGAGATCCATGCTTTATTCTGACCTCTGACATAAGTTCCTCCAGGACCACAGTCAAGATTCACCCTTTTCAGGTCTCCCTCTAGCTTCTCCTTCCTGAAAAAGGATCGATCTGATGTACCTAGCAGAGAGAATATTGAGAATCTGTTTTGCAAATTGTTCAGAAATCCTTTACCTGGGAAGTCCTATAGTCATCGCTTACCCAAGGGGACACAGACTTACTCAGCTTTCTTGGACACTGCTGTTATCTTTTCAGAAGACCTGAACAATTTTTCTAACCATAAATGGATGTTTTGTCCTCTCTTCCCTTCCCAAAAAAGGAACCACTCTTATCCACTAGGAGTTTGTTAAACCTTTGAGAAGGACTAGGTGGTAGAAGGGGAAAAAAAAATCCCAACGATTGCAATAGCAATAGGTGCTACTTTTATATTTCAGAGCAACTGATGTTATTAATCCTGTGAAGATGAAGCCCCTTGACTTGACTAAAGCTGAAGATTTCCTGGAGGATATTCACAGACCCTGGGTTATTCATACCATTTTTAGCAATGAAGACAAGCTCTCATAAAACATGATGAGTATTATACAGCACAAGCTTTATCTTTCACAAGCAGATTTTTAGCCTGGTTCTCAGCAGGCCAGTGCCCACATCACCATCAGCCCAACAGACAATATTGTAACCATTTAACCAGAAAATTTAAAGATGCCTTAACAAGGGAAAAATAACTTTTCTCCCTTCTCCACACTTCTCACGTCAGGGCTGGGAAAATAAAGCAATGTAAAAACAAGGTTGGTTCTGCAACAGTCTGTGCTACCCTCCTTACAGAGACCATCAGTCATTAGGGTTCATAGTGCAGTCCCTCTCACCAGCATACAAATTAGCATCTCCAACCTTTGTACAGGCAGAAAGGTCTCCAAGACCTATATAGATAGGCTGTAGTTCCCAAAATTCGGCACATCATTCAGCATCCCCACACCCAAAACACGCAACACTGTCCTGATCTCCGAGAACCTCTCCTCAAGAACCAGGCTGCTGGCACTTTATTTTAAGAAGGCTTTGGGGTAATTTTTAAATAGATTACCAGGGAAGTCAACAACTACAGCAGAGTGCACTGTTCAGATGACTTATTCTTCAGAGGCTGATAAAGGATAGAAGGAATGTATTTCCTACCTGAATTTCGTCAAGGACCAGTCCCAACAACAACAACATCATATTCAAGATTCAAGCATACACAAGAACAGGCAACAAAACCAAATGCAAGTGGCTAATAAGATGGTATAAATGTATCCAAAGTCTTGAAATGGAAAACGGAATGTCTATTTAAGTTTAGCTGTTTGTATACTAAGAGTCTGCTGAAGAAAGATAATCAGTGCGGTATCAGCATAAAAATCATAAATGAATGATCGATGGAGGAGTGGGTCCTTAAAGAAGACTCAGAGTCAACAGGAATACAAAAGCCCTATAAAATTCCATAAGTAAGCACAAATATTGACAGAGGAGACCACCAAACCCAGAAGGTCAATTAAAGTGTTAAAAGACAGAAAGAGAGAGATGCTGCAAAGGC